AATCCAAAGAAAAGTCGAAGGATAATAAGAGAAAGAGGAGGGATAAAAAAAAGAGCAAGCATCACAAATGATGGTTTTATGGCTATCTTACTGTTCTTCAGCTAGATTATTCTAACTTGTATTAGCTGTGTTATTTCAAATTATAATTCTTGTTTGTACATTGTATGAAAAAAATGTTTTAAAGAATCATGAAATAACAGTTCGAAAAGAAATTAGATGTTTATAGTACTGACCTGGATCCAGCCAGGTTCTATTGATCANTGAGCGAACCCTTTCGGAACGGGTTAAGAATGGGCGCCACGATCCCAGCCCGGAGCCAGCCAGGTTCTATTGATCATGTCCCCTCCCTAACAGCTTGACCTTGTGTTGGGGTGTCTTTGGCTTTAAAAGAGAAAGATGTGGAACCAGAAATAAATCAGCTTATTCGCAGATTGTTGTTTTGAACAAGTGATCATATTGAAGATGAGCTGCAATAAAATGTTTCGAAGCTTGTGATGGTGCTGCCTGGATTCCAAAGCGGTCGAACTCCGATGTAAACCAACTTGAGTGCTACAAAACTTAAAGACTAAGAAGATTACTAGGGACCTTTGGGATTCTAGTGCTACAATATCATAAAGGTTGGGGACTCCACGTCTTTGGCCACATTTTTCTTACTGAAATAGTGATTTAGTCCGTATGTATGACACGGGAAGGATAATTCTCTTTGAGCTATCGAAGCTAATGCCACTTTGTCTGTATGCTTGAAATAAAGTATTTATTCAGTAATTTTGGTGGTTTCAGAGTCAGTCATCCAACTTCAAGTGCAACTGCACAAGCAATAGAATATATTCTATCAGAGTTATTGAATTGTAAGTTGGTTATTACTTTCATCAATCATGATACATGAACATCAAGGTTGACATAAATTTTGACATAATGTCACGTGATATTCTATCATTAAATAGTTTAAAATACAGTCAGTTTTTCTATCTAATTATTTATTGCCTCATGCAATTATGTCAAGCTTTTTGTTAAATCATTCTGACAAAGTAGCTTTATTCTACTTTCATTTCTTGTTAAAGAAAGAAAAAAAGGCGGCCTCGTGTGATGATTTATCATAGTTTACTTCAGTTTTTTCCTTTGGATTTACCTTTTATTTGTTTATCTTTAGGAGTGCATGCTTGTCAAGATAATTTGTTGTACTTATAGTAGTATCAAGGAACTGCTTTGCCTCCTTTGCTTCGATGGAATGTTTGGTTGCTTGCCAGGTGGGGAATGACTGACCTAAGAAAGAAAAAGAACTAGCTAGCAGTGATATTTGCTGCCAATTGGCCAGCAAAATACCTGTACTACAACCCATTTACAAGTTTTCTTGCTAAAGAAATGAAATAATGCATCCAATTTTACAATATGAGGTTTGTGGAAGACTTGGCTTTGTTTCCTCTTTTACAATAATTCATGGAGTGGGGAAAAAGAAAGTTTTCTCAGAAAGGAGAAAAGATGAAATGTCACTTGGTATGTTGGAAACGTAGGCAAGCTGCTAGAAGGGCTTATCGCTTCTTCTGATGGTGAGTCTGATATTTCTTATCGTTTCTTCACTGTTGAAGAATTTAATAAAGCAACAAACTCAGAACTCACTGGTGCAACAAGTAAATTTTTCGAGGTGGGTTCTGTCGGATGAGAGGGGATATTATATCAGCAGCACTTTTTAGCATCGCTCAATTCTAGTTCTGATTCTTGCTCTTTTTACAAGAATGCATTTAGTAGACGGTCTAACCAACTATTTGAATTCAAAATTCCAGGACAGTTATGCCGATTGTCAACATCAATGCTTCATTGACATCTCTTTCGCCGATTCAATACAAACTAGGTCTTGAACAAGAGCTGAAACACGTTCACTCTCAATTCTAGTAAAGAAGTTTTGTTATAATAGTACCGGATACAGGGGTGGTCCTATGCTGCTGTCAATGACATTGTGGTCTTGTTTCAAATGAATTACCACTAAAATTGAGGTTTGATCAGTTAAAATTTCGATAAACTTATAATAAAATTTTATCGAACCACCACATATTATTGAGGTTAGTTATTCCATGCTTAATTTTTCAGGATTCCCTTGTATAACTTCATGAAAGTATTTTCCATAGAATAATTTTATCCTCGAATTTTACAAATAGGTCCTGTTTGGATTGATATTTAAAGCTCAACTTCTGACAAACAATTTGAAATTATTTTAGGAGTTTGGTAAATTAAAGAAAAAACTGATCATAAAAAAAATTATATCATCAAATTGTCTATAATTAAAATAATAAGTTTAGAACTAATTAATTCATTTTCTCTCTTAAATTTATTGATATTCCAAAAGTAACTCATATTTCCAAATTATATTTATTAGATTATTTTAGTACTATATGAATTATGTTTTTATTTTGTAGTTTTTTTATTAAATTTCGAGATTTGATAAATGTTAAATTTTTTTATTTTAAAATAACTATAGTGAAAATATGGTCTTAAAAAATTGTTTTGATAATGTCATTTCTTGTTATAAAACTTGAAATAAATTTTACATTCGGTGATAATATCATAATAGTAATAATAACAGTTTTGGTCTCCCGCGCGCCGCGCAGGGCTATCCTGCGCGCAGGAGACCAAAACGTTGGTTTTGGCTTTAAAGCCAACTTTTAATTAAATATTTTTTTTTTTGAAGGGTTGTCAACGCAGNTCGAAGTAAGACGTTTCAAAATATATAAATGAGTTTTTCTTATTTTGTCTCAATTTTCGAGTTCATTACGGGATATCAAACGAAGTCGAAATATTGTATTTTTAATATTATATCGAAGTGCTCACGACCTAATTTCCACAATCTCTAATGACGTACGAAACGGCCAACCGTAACAAAAGTTAGTACTCGTCGAAGTAAGACGTTCCAAAATTGATAGTCAGTAATAATGCAAAAGATCATTATTATAGTAAATATTCAATAAACTGTTTTTTTACCAAATCTTATAATGCTAATCCTATTGCAACTCTGAAATAAAAATTTACCTAACACTGATTTTTCCTGCATCTTCTTAAAACTGATTTTCTTCTAATTACAGCGATACCATCATACCAAATGTCCAAATCAAGCCTTAGCGACTACTATGTTTGAGCCCTTGATTGTCTCTCTTCTTTTCCGTGATTTTTAAATACTAGTTTGCAAAATAAAATATTTTATACATAAATTCAAATTCTTTTCTACTTTTTAATTATACATTTTCCAAAAAATCACTATTCAAAACTCTTTTTTTTTTCCAAGATAATGATCATTAAAACAGGGGCAGAAATTGCATGTTGTCTAATCAGACGGAAGAAATCTTGGGCCACATTTTTTCACAAAATAGCAATTTAGTGCTGTAAGTGTTATGCCCTAAGTACAATTAACTTTGGACATAAACACTT